AATTTTTTTTTTCGAAACGCCCAATAACGCCCTAAAAAAAGAAAAAAATTTTTTTTTCTTCTGCCACGTTTTTTTTTTTTTTTTTTAAACAGTAAATTGGCAAAATATCAGGAAAAAAAAATTGAAGAATGGCCATTTAAAAGTTGCCAATGACGAAACGAATTATATATATATATATATATATATATATGTATGTATGGAAAGAAAAATAAATTTAAATTTCATAGAGTAACAAAAAAAAAACGGTTTTTCCTTTTTACCATCTCTCTCTCTTTCTCTCTTTTCCCTTCTCCAGGTTCTGGAATTTATGATTCCCTGGCAATTTACGTACGCACTAACCATGAAATGACAAAATTTCTATTAAACCGCCACTCCTACCCCACCCCATCTTCTCACTCCCCTCCCTCCCTCCCCCATAATTTTTTTTCATCCCTTAAAAATCTTTTCTCTCTCTTTCTACCCTTCATATTGAATTTTTTTTTTATTATTTTAACTTAGTTATACGTTCGTAATTTTATAATATCGTAAATCAACAAAAAAAAAAATTTTTTTCAAAGGAATAAAGGAATGAAAAAAAGGAACCTTTGAATTTTTCCTTTTTTTTTTAAATTTTTTTTTAATATGACGTCGTCGATGACGTCGACGACGACGACGACGACGACGGTCAAAAAAATTTAATTTTTTTTTTTTTTCCATGTTAGTTTTTCATCACTTTAAAAGTATATACGTTATCATTATTATTATCATTATTATTATTATTATTAATATTATTATTATTATATTTGTTAACGTGGCGTCAAAGTTTACATAGTCGGATATAAAAAGAGAAAAAAATTTGATTGGAGTCACGTGTCAATTTTTTTTCTCGATGGGATATGAAAAACGTCACGTGAAATTTTACGGTGAAGAGAAAAGGAGACGGGGGATGAGGGGGTTGGTAGCACTGAAAATTATTATTATTATATAAGGGATCGTAAAATCGTCTGAAGGGTTGCCAACTCCACTTTGAATTGATTCATTGTTGGTCACACTGGAAAAACTCTGGAAATTTTTTTTTTTTTAACGGTTCAATGAAAATTTCAAATTGATTTTTTAATTTTTTTTTCTATGGGGCGGGAGGAGGGGGAGAAACGAATGAGGGGGTGGAAGGGATACAAGGAGAGGGGGGAGTATTTTTTACAGTCAATCAGCGAATGAATGAATGAAATGTAAAAGTCATTCGTTTAATAAGTCACTAGATCACGATTGTTAAATATTGAACTTTAATTTCCTATTAAATTCGTTCGTTCGTTCGTTTGTTTGTTTGTTTGTTTCGATAAATTTTTTCATTTTTTTTTTTTTCGTGCGAGTGAAATGTATTTGTTTTTCTCTCTCTTTCTATCTCTGTCTCTCTCGTTTCACTTCCGGTTTTAATTTTATAATTGAATTAAAATAAATTAAAAGACCGAAAGAAATGGAAAAAGCACGAACAGCAGGATTTGATAAAAGGAAAAAAAAATAACAGCAACAACAGCAAAAGTTGTAACGACACCCAGTGATGATAATAATGATAATGATAATAATAATAATAAAATAAATTAAAGAAAAAAAAAGGGAAATAAAAAAAATTAAAAAAAAAAAAAAAAAAAAAAACGCGGGAACTTTGACTTCCGTTTTAACATTTTTTTCTTTTTTTTTTTTCTTTTTTTCTTTTCCTATCTTTTTAACCTCTTTAACCCATTTTCATCCCTTTATCTACCGCCATTTTTTTTTTAAATTCACCCTCACGTGTTGTTTTTTATTTTATTTCATACAATTTATTATTATTATTATCGTAAGGGTTGACATTTTATAAATTTTTCCGTAGTTTTCTTTTACCCAAAAAAAAAATTATTAAACGTAATTAATACGCAAAAAAAAAAAATCGGAAGATCGGGGGGGGGGAGCGTGTGTCGTTTGTTTGTTTGTTTGTTATCATTTCCAGCACCCGCCACCCTTGAGAATATTTTTCCCTTCCTTCCCTCCCAAACATTTTGATCTTTTACCCTTTTGACGTTTTTGAAATATGTCACCATTCATACTTCCACCCTCTTTGTCTCACTCTCTCTCGAATGTTCGATTCAGATTAAATTGCACTATTATTATTATCATCATCATCTTTTTTTTTCTTTTCTTATGCTTTCAACCCTTATTTTCAACCCAGATTTCCTGTCGTTCTTTTCAAACATGTCGTATAGATCGATTGGTTGAATAGTCCTCGACCGCAAAACAAGTGGAAACCACTTTTTTCATTCTTTCATTCTTTCTTTTTCTTTTTCAACATCTTAATTCGCTTCTTTTTCTCTCTGTCTCTCTTTCTCTCCAAAAAAACAAGAGAAACTTTTTCTTTTGTCTTTTCACCGAAGGGAAGAAAAATCAGAAAGAAAAAATGGAGTCGTTACTTACTTTATATGCTCCTAAATCTTCGACTATGCATCCCATGACTGCTTCTCTTCCAACGGGTACCGTAACGTTTGTTATTGATTCGCCAAATTTTGGAAGTTCTGGAAAAATAATAATAATAATGATAATTAAAACTATTATTAAAAAAAAAGGCATTGATGATTGTTAGATAGTTGAAATAATGTTAAGTATTTATAAATTTTCCAAAGGGGTTGACTAGTTATCGGGATTAAAAATCTCGTTTATCGGCTTAAAAAAAGAAAAAAAAAAGTTTCAACCCTCTCCAGAACTGGATGACTGGAGAAAAAAAAAATTATTTTAACATTAAAGCAGCCTCGATCCCAATTAAACTTGAAATCGTTTTATCTGTTTTCTCTCTCTCTCACTCTCTACGTATTGTCTGTCTCTCTTTCCACGTTTCCGTTATTTCTTTCAAACCGTTTGCTATCCGCCGACACTCCTGACGTCATCATTTCGTTCTTATCAATAATTAATTACCAAAAATTAATTAAAAGAGTTTTTGATAATAATAATAATAATAATAATCTCCGATTAGTTAGTTATTTTTTTTCCGAGAAAAAAAAAAAAAATTTTTTTTCATTTAAAAACCGGAAACGGCCTTTGTTAAACGTTGACGGAAGTCAAAGGCGGGAGCCTGGCTCGCTGGCTAACGACGTATTTCGGTTACCTAATCCGGTTTTAAAAAAGATACGAATTATGATATCGGTTGATGAATGATAAAAAAAAAGGCAGGAGGAAGAGGATGAGGAAAAAGACGTGGAAGAAGAATTGAAAAAAAAAAGAAAATTATCGTTAATACGATCCACGTTTTCGATTATAGTAGTGGTCGTTATGCTATTATCATCGGACCGTTTTCCGGGTAAATTTTATTCGGAGAGAAGATAACTCGTTATATTTCAATATATCGATGGATCGATCGATCGATATATCGACGAATCGTGGTATTTAAATTTATTTATTTAGAATAAAAACAAAAAATTTCTTTTTTTACGTAAAAAATTTGTTTGAAAAAAAAAAAGTAACATTTCGAGTCGGAAAAAATTATTTAATCGAATGTCACGCGATCGAGATATCGATTTAGTCATTATTACAAGAATCTATTCTGGGTAATTCTTTTGTTCTTATATCCCCCGCTACTTCCTCTCCTCTACTCTCTGACGCGCCACAACTTTCACCGCCACCACCACCACCATCATTCTTTCTCTCTTTCTCTCTCTCTGAACTTTTTCCTTAGCCTCTCTCTCTCTCTCTCTCTCTCTCTCTCTCTCTCTCTTATTTCCTTCCTTTTCTTTCATTTTCTTTTTTTAAATTTTCCGGACAAAGTTTTTTTTTTTTTCCAAAACTTAAAATTTGATTTACATATATTTATTTATTTATTTATTTTTTTCGTTTCATTTAATTAAAATGAGAATTAATTTTTCCTTCCTCGCCACCACCACCACCACCACTGCCTCCATTCCCTTCCGATTCAGACATTTTGATTTTTCATTTATTAATAATAATAATAATGATACTGATTTATATTATGCGTAACAAAAAAAAAAACAATTTTTAATTATTTATTTTATTTTTTTTTGTTTGTTAAATAATTAATTTTTTCATTCATTCCGTTTGTTTGTTTTGTTTTGTTTGTTATGGAATTCTATGATTTTCATTCTTCCAATAATAATAATAATAATAATAATAATAATAATAATAAATTTATTATACGTAAAATAATTAGCTTTATAAAAATAAAAAAAAGTTTTTTTTAAATGCCTTTTGAAAAAATTTTTTCCAACTCTCTCTCTCTCTCTTTCTCTTTCTCTCATTATTCTTTTCTTTTTTCTTTTTTTTTTTTCTCTTCACCTTTTTATCTAAAAAAAAAAAAAAAAATGGGCACTAACAATAGGATGGGGACGGGGGTAAGGGAGGGAAGGGAGGAAGGAAAGGAGGAAAATCCTTGATGCTTATTAAATTATGCTTCCTTGATTTCCGTAATGAGCTTTTCCAGTAATTTTTTCTATTTATTTATTTTATTTAAGTTCGGCCATATTGTTCATCCGAATTAGATTAATGAGAAAACGGCGTTCGAGAAAAAGAGAAAGAAAAAGAGTGAGAGAGAGAGAGAGAGAGAGAGAGAGAGAGAATAAACAACCGGAAACGAAATGAAAGACTTACAACGCCGTAAAAAAAAAAATTTTATCGCATAAAATATTGATTTTGAAAAAAAAAAAACTTTGATATGTTCTCTCAACCATTTCCGTTTTTTTTAATAACGATTTTTACCGGAAATGTTTCGTCATAGTTTTTCAATCATGATTTTTTTTTTTATATATAAATTACCGGATTCGTTTGAATCTCGCGTTTCGGTTTATTTTCTTGTACACCTGAAAACTATTTAAACCTGAGTAATAAAATTCAAATCCAATAAAAAAAAAAAAAAAAGTAATCAAACTAAAAGCCGGAAAGGGTTTTTTTTTTATATATGTTATAATTGTATACAAAAAAAAAGGAAATATTGACACAACGGAAATTATTATTATTATTATCATTATCATCGTCATCGTCGTCGTCGTTATGCTTCATGATCGAATCGGTCATTTTTTTTTTTCGTTTTGTAAAATTCAAATTCAAAACGATTATCTTGTTTCTATCTATCTCTCTCTCTCTTTCTCACTCTCTTTGTGTCTCCATAAAACGTTTTTTCACGGGGGTAAGGGGTTGAGGGGGGGGCGGAAACGAGGATTTTATAATTGAAGAACGGTAATATCAAATTATGGTTTATCACACATTTAGCATTTAGTTTTTTTTGTTTAGTCGTGGCATTAGATCTTTATGATCATACGTGACTATCTAACTATTTAACCTTAAATTGTTTTTACCCTTGTTTACGTTTGCCCTATTTTTCTTATTCTTCTGCCACTTTAAACCGTAATTACACCGTAAAATTATTTTTCATTTTTAAATCACGTAAGAAAATGCAATGGAAATTTTCTTTTTTTTTTTATTACGGTCGGTAAATTCAACGCACGAATCAAAAAAATCCCTTCCCCCCCTCTCTCTTTCTCTCTCTCTATAAAATTTCTTTTTTTTTGTTTTTACTACTACCACGATTAGTACAACTCCTATTCTTCTCCCCCCATTTCGTTTCCCTTTTTTTTTTTTTTTTTTTTAATACCCAATTGTTTCTCGTTTGGTTGAAAAAGTAAATCTTTTCCATTTATCTAATTTTTTTATCCACGTCGACCCTATTGGAATTCAATTAAACTTTTTTTTTCTTTTTGTGCACGAGGCGGAGGGGGGGGTTCCTTTGACTTTTCAAATTTAAATCCCATGACCATCCACCCGATGGAGTATGACAACATTCGTCATCGTTTTCCAACATTCGGTTTCAACCCCATGGTCGAATAATCAATTTGGGAGGGAAAGAAAACAAAAAGGAAAAATGACACGTGACACGCACACACACGCGGACGAGAAAAAAAAAGAGGGTAAAAAAAGATATTATTAATTTTATTTTTATATCCTACGAAAAAAAAAGGTGGCAAAGGACACTGATAAAAGGAAAAGAAAGTGGGAGGAGGGAGGGAGAGGGAAAAAAATAAGATTTCTTCTCCTCGGTTTTCTCTTTCGAAAAAAAGCAGAAGACATCAACGTGAGTCCATTCGATATCAGTCACCTGATACTGATATTTTTCCATTGTTCTTATTATTACTTCCATTTCTCTTCCGTAATCAAATACGCACTTTCATCATCATCATCATCATCATTATTAAAAGTAACGAATTTAATATTAATAATAATAATAATAATTTTTTCCCACTCGAATTCCCAATCTTTAATAATAATAATAATAAATTAAAATTTTATTAATCTAATAATGATATTGATAATAATAATAATAATAATAATTAATAATATTATGTATTTACTTTTTAAGCTTTTTATTTATTATTATTATTATTATTATTATTATTATATTGAAAAAGTTTGAAGAACAATCGTCTCTGCTATACTTTTCCCATTATTTTCCTTTTTTTCCTTTTTTCCTTTTTTTTTTCCCAATATAATTGAGTTAAGCTTCTTTCAAGTATTCAATCACCTCTTTTCTTATCATTATTATTATTATTATTATTATTTTTCAAAACTTTTTTTTTTATTTTCTTCTGCTTCTCATATTATATATATATATATATATATATATATATATATATATATATATATATATATATATATATATATATATATATATATATACTCAAACGTATGAGTTTATATTATTGTTATTTATTTATTTTATTTGTTTGTTTGTTTGTTTGTTGTTAATTGATTCGTTTCGTTTGTTTGTCATCCATTTTTTTTTTTTTGGTTTGTTTTGGTCATGTTTTAAACACGTGATCGTGTGTCGTCACGCACGTGCGAAAATTGTGTTTTTTTTTGGCGGTAATAATGAAGGAGGAAGAAGTGGAGGAAAGTGAAGATGGTCGTGATTGTAGATAAACGTTGAAAACGACGAAAGAAAGTTTTTTTTTTAAAAGTAAAATTTGTTTTTCCATTTTCTCTTCCTTCCATCCCTTCATCCCTCCATCTTTCCTTCCTTCCTTCCTTCCATCCTTATTCGAGACTTAATTTTGGGTTTTGATTAACCCTCAATGAGATAATATAATTATATTCAATTTATACGTTTTTATATCTCTTATCTCCGCTCGAAACGAGATGATGATGATGATGATGATGATGATGATGATGATGATGAGAGAGAGAGAGTTATTAAAAAAGATGATGAAATTTTAAAGTTTTATAATACTTAATAAAAAATAAGAATAAGAAAATGATGGGTACAAACGGACGGAGGGAGGAAGAGGAAGAAGAAGAAGAAGAAGAGGGAGGAGGAAAACAACAACAACAACAAGAAAAAATTAAAAAGTTTTCTCATCGACAAAATTAATTAATTGTAACGTCCGCGAAACCCTTTTTTCTACTTTCCCCCTCCCCGAAAAAAAAACAGAAAAACGGAAAAAGACATCGTCATCATCATCATCATCATCATTATTATTATTATTATTATTATTTATAAACTTTTTTCATTTAAATATAAATAAATAAATAAAAAGGTGTTTGTGTGTGTGCGTGTGTTTGGTATGCGATCGGTT